TGTCAGGGGCGGAAAAGCGCCCATGCACTGCACGGGAGGGCAGCAAAACACCTGTGCATCGCACGTCGGGCAGAAAAGCGCCCGCGTGCTGCGCGGCGGGGCGGCAAAATGCCCGCGCGCCACGCATCAGGGGCAGAAAAGCGCCCGCGCACTGCACAGCAGGGCAACAAAACGCCCGCGCCCCGCACGTCAGGGGCAGAAAAGTGGTCAGGGGCGCGGCGGGGCGGCAAAACGCCCACGCGCCGCGCAGCAGGGCAGAAAAACACCCGCGGACCATGTGTCAGGCAGAAAAATGGCCGCGGACCACGTGTCAGGGAGGGCAAATGGCCGTACCTCGAGGCGGAGTTCGGACATCGAGGTAAATTTTTGGGGCCGGAGCTGGTCGTATCTCGAAAATTTCGTAAGTAGGGGCGTTCGTAAGTAGAGGTACCACTGTACTCAGTTTCTGTGTTGCTCGGACCACGTGTCAGGGAGGGCAAATGGCCGTACCTCGAGGCGGAGTTCGGACATCGAGGTAAATTTTTGGGGCCGGAGCTGGTCGTATCTCGAAAATTTCGTAAGTAGGGGCGTTCGTAAGTAGAGGTACCACTGTACTCAGTTTCTGTGTTGCTTGACTTTGTCCTTCCTAAAATTGAATTAATAGCTTGTTGAGAAGGGTTAATTCAAAAATCAGAGAGAATGAGGCAAATGTTTTGCAGTGTCTGTAAAATCAGGCAGCTTAATTCAGAAAAGCGACTTCTGATTATTTCCCTATGAAATATCTTAGCATATTAACACCTCCCATGATTCTGAATATTCTTACGCTATTTTTTTTAAGTAGTAAGTATGGAAAGACCATCCATTGATTAAATCCTCTCCACAAAAGAAAAGGTGGGGTGGGGGGGAGAGAAAAAAGTCCTTATTTTCACACTGTTGCTAATCTTGCCTTCTTTCGGTCCTCCTGCAAGCTTTGGAGAACCTGACCTTTGACCCAGCCACTGCACAAGCCAACCTGATGGTGTCAGAAGATGGAAAAAGAGTGGAATGTGTAGAACATAAGCAAGCTGTGAGCCCAGATGACACACAGAGGTTTGACAAGTCCAACTGCTTGGTCTCACGCCAGAGCTTCTCACAGGGAGAGCACTACTGGGAGGTGGCAGTAGACGACAAGCCCCGTTGGGCCCTGGGCGTCATCTCGGCTGAAACTGGCCGCAAGGGCCGCTTGCATGCAACCCCATCCAATGGCTTCTGGCTGGTGGGTTGCAAGGAAGGCAAGAACTATGAAGCCTATGTGGAGCACAAGGAACCCCGGTCTCTGAAGCTGGAGGGAAAGCCCAGCCGAATTGGCATCTACCTCAGCTTCGATGATGGCATCCTTGCCTTCTACGATGCTGGTGATGAAGACAACCTCGTCCAGATTTTTGCTTTCCATGAGCGCTTTACAGGCACAGTCTACCCCTTTTTCGATGTCTGCTGGCATGATAAGGGCAAGAACAGCCAGCCTTTAATCATCTACACCCCAGAGCCACAAGAGCGATAACTAACCATGATTTTGGATCTTCTAGGCCAGCCTTCTAGATCAGGCATCCTCCTGAGACTGCATTGTCCAGCATCCTAGTATCCTAGGCATTATGATCCCAGTGCCTCTGGAGGACACCAGATGAGGGAAGGCTGCTATAAACTCACCCATTACTAGTTCCTATATAATAGTTGCCTGCCAAGGTATACAGAGGAGCTATTTCTTACCAAAGCTGCACAAATTATTGGCAATTTTAAAATTGACAAATTATTAGCAATTTTAAAATTGCCCTGATTATTGGCAATTTTAACTCCACTGCACATAGACTCCTAAATCATAGCCACATCCAACTGGACTGAAGAAATGTCACTCTGCTCAACCCAAGTCTGCCATCAAAAACTTGATAATTTTCTTGGTTTAAAAATAAAGGTTCATTATCCTTGTAGCTTGTTCAATAAAGTTAAAGCACATACATAACATCTGCATACTTTGGAAGAAGAGGGGAAGATTGGGGCTGGCCAACTTCCAAGAGGATATAGAACAGAGGCTTTGCTAGACTAGATAGCTCTCTAGCTATAGCTGCTTTATCTGTCCCATTATGTGGTCCTTCTTCTTCTGTCACTACAGTCCTCACTGAAAATGGTCAGTTAAGATCAAAATATTCTAAATTGCATCAATACCAATTCTTCATTTTTTTAAAGCAGAAAATGTCATCCTTTCTAATATCAAACACGGGTGTTGCTTGATAAACATATATCTGAGGACAAGGCTGGGTTCAAAGATGGACTATGATTTCTTTACATAACTAGGGTTGCTTATAAATGCTCAAAAACTACCAGGCAGAATGGATTCATAGCAACCTGCCAAATTTAATCCATTCTCATCTGCCTTAAAACCAAAGGCAGAATACAGGGGCAAAGAGGCTTAGGAGTTTGTGTGATGAGAACTATCTTGTGTAAATTAATCCAAATCTCTAACAATGCTCTTACACCAAAGTTAAATATAGTTAGATTGTAAACTGCAATCAGTAGATTCTTTGAGGTTTAGCTGTATTGTCTTAGTTGTGGGTTTAGAGAAAGATGTGCCCTCCTCTGCTCAGAGTCTTCAATATTTAGGCACGATAATGCTATTCTCCATGGGAAATATCTATTTATTTACTTACTTACTAGATTTCTAAGGCCATCCAACTCAAAACAATGTGAGTCTGGGCAGTGGACAAAAACCAAACTGAAAAAAACTAAAAGATTGAAACATACACATAATGTAAATACGAAATACAGAATATATACAGGTAGTCCTTTACTTATGACCATTTGTTTAATGACCATTCAAAGTTATGATGGTGTTGAAAAAGTGACTTATGACCAGTCCTCACACTTACGACCATCACAGCATCCCCATAGTTACATGATCAAAATTCGGGCACTTGGCAACCGGCATGTATTTATGATGGTAGCAACTTCCCAGGATCACATGATTGCCATTTGTGACCTTCCCAGGGGGCTTCCGACAAGCAAAGTCAATGGGGGAAACAGGATTCACTTAACAACTGCATGATTCATTTAATGAACACTGCAAAAAAGTTCGTAAAATTGGGCGCGACTTGCTTAACCACATCGCTTAGTGACAGAAGTTCCAGTCCCAATTGTAGTCATAAGTCAAGGACTACCTATAATGGCTACCAAGGACCATAATAACAACAACCAAAAAGGGACTCCGCTCAACTCCATTATGCAGACTAGTTTTCAAACAGGAACTTTGATATTTAAAGGAGTTGTATTCCTCAATGCAAGTCAGGGAATCCATAAGTGGTATAGTCCTCCCGTGGAGAGCCTCCCCACATTCGAAGAAAAAGTGAGAAGTTGTTTTTGGGTTTTTTTGGTTTTTTCCATTCTGCAAGGGTCATTTGCTCACACAGTGTCCCAGCTTTCGATTCTCTGCTGACTTTGGCTTTGCAATTTTCTAAACGACAGCATATTCATGAGGATCTCTTTATTGTCACTTTTTGAACTTCTGGGACACAGAGAACTGGAACTTCTGTTTTTGTATTTCTATTTCAAGAATTATCTCTGGATTGGGCTGTTTAAAAATCATAAGCACAATGATAATAAAAGTCACAAGCATTATTCACAAAAATAGGACCAATTTCTTAGCATAGTCACACTCACAACTACAGCTTTCTGTTCAATAAGTATGTAAGACCAACCATTTTAGTACTGGTCAAATATTAAAATGAATTATCCTGAACTGCAATGTTATTTACCTTTCTAAACATCTAAACTCAGAATAAGGAAGGATATCATCCATATACAATAATGGTTAGGAAGCAAAAGCAATATTTGATTTTTTTTTTTTAAGAACTAGATGTAACACTTCTCCAGTTTGGGAGAAAAGTCTGTAAGAAACAAAACTTGCTCTCCCTTTTTGAGAATAGATCTATCAGCGGCTATTGCCCGTGAGAATGCATTAGTGTTTTCCACGTTCAGAAGCAGTGTCATTCTGACATGCTGGTGAGGCAGCAGAACCTTGCTGTCACCCCCGTGACCTACTTCACCTGGCGGAGGGAACTTTCTGAGATTTTGTATCCTTTCTACCCCTCCCCACATTGCTGATCTTTTTCTTCCTATTCACCAACATGAACGTTGTGGGCTGCCTTTCACTCCACCAACTACTTCCCCACAACCACTGCAGGAGGAATAATGTAACATCAGAATCCCTGCAAGCACACAGGTTTTCATCCTGTATCATCTTCTATTGGCTCCTCTGTTGTCGGATCATTATCATCTAATCATTTTTTCTTTTAGCCTGTAGGAAGAAGAGTAACCATCTCTAGCAAACCCTTCTCCTGCTGCTCATTGTTCCTGATTATTATAATTCATAAAAACAAGTGGGAGGGCAACCCTCTAAATCAGTGTTTTTCAAACTTGGCCACTTGAAGATGTGTGGACTTCAACTTCCAGAATTCCTCAGCCAGCCATGCTGGCTGGGTCATTCTGGGAGTTGAAGTCCACACATCTTAAAGCTACCAAGATTGAAAAACACTGCTCTAAATGGCTTCATTTACAAAGGCATTATTCTTGATCATTAGTGGCTGGGTTTTAAGTTTTGAGAAAGGCTGGGTTGACTGTCCTACCTACAGCCAGCAAAATCCACTTCCTCCTGCACCGACGATGTTACCTAGTGTGGTGGTGAAACATCTGCAGGAAAACCACCAAGCTCAAGAACACCAAGAACCCAATAATTCCACCCTGAGCGACTACATTCTTCAAGTTATAATATCCACAACTGTTGGATGGGTGGAATCCATGAAGAATAAAATCAATATAATTTTGTGATCAACACTGACAGAGACAGAGATTAATGGGGATTTTCTGTGTGTGCGTTTTGTAAATGAGAACAATATTCAGATTACCTTCAGGAACCAATGTTTAGCCACTCGAAATAGGAAGCCTGAGTATTTTGAGAGAAGTTAGTTGCAATCAAACCGTTTCCTGAATAGGTTCGATTTTGTTTCTGCCAAGAAAAGATCCACACATTTTCTACTTTACAGAGAAAGAATAGAGATTAAAGAAAGCTGAAGGCAGGGTGATGTCGGTAATGGTAACTGATCTTTCTATCTCTAGTGACATCCTGCTTTGAGGGTCTGTTTTCACATTTTTTTTTTATTCAGAAGAGACAATGGGATTTAAAAAAAACTATTCTTCCTAAAACCTTAGTTCCAACATACTTAAAAAAATAAAACTAGGACAAACTCTCGTGTGGTTCACAGATAAAAAGAGGTGCATTTTTGCTAGCTATCATTGAATGAATATGCGCTGTTGATATTTTTGTTAGAATCAGAGATAGGATTAGAGGCTCATATGCTATCCTTGTAACTGTATGTTTCAAGACAAAACACTCCATTATATGTGTTAGAAGAAGATGTAAACCTTTCTTTCTATAAAACTTTTGGTCCAAAAATTGACTGTTTGCAAGAAAATTGGAAATGTGGATAATAGGCATGGTGGTACTCCAAAACTTTCATCATGCACAGTATCTGCATTCACAGGAGGGCACAATAAGTTGAACCATATCCTAGTTAAATGACCTGGGTTCGGGCAAAATGCTAAGCTACAGATGAAACTAACTGTACAAATTAAGTTTGCTAGGTTGTGGGAATGCAGCTGCCAGGTCTTTAACCAATCTGGTTAAGCATGAAATGTGAATATAACCATGATGGATCTTCTGGAAACATAGCAACGTTGGCAGCCTTCCCTTGCTGCTACCCTCCCCCCTATCATTTTGCTCATGTGTTAGTTATTCAGAATTAATTGAGAAACAGTCTTTTGCAATTTTGGGTAGGCTAGCCTGAAAATCATTTAAGGAAGGAAGCCAGCCAGGGAACACACACACAAAAAGTCAGCTAAAGGGGTGAGTGGATGGAGGAATGGGGTTGACAGTTTGTTGTTTCTTAACCACTTGATCAGTAGATCAGGAAGAGGGTGGATTAGATATTGTATAAAAATAGAATCTTGATAGCCCATCTAGTCTAGCATTCTGTCTCCCATGGAGATCAACCAGATGTCTCTCCAAGCTAACATTTATTTATTTATTTGACTTGTCCCCGCCCATCTCCCCACAACGGGGGATCAATCTAGAATATATATATATATATACACACA